TTTGATTACTGACAGTATGTGCAGCAATGCTGGATGCTGAAGGTTAGCAGTCCTGTTTAAAGGGCAAGAAAATCAGTAAAACAGTGGTTGGAGGTGTTTACAGGTTTGTTTGTCAGGAGGGTTTTATCTTGTTTTTTAAATGTTGAGTTTTCACTTTGTTTACATAGTTTTTTTAATCCTCTGACTTTTTTTGTTTTTACTGGCCTTCACAAATTCACACATTTTGGTAACTGATTGGGTTTAGGAATTGAAAACTACATGTTTAGTTTAAGGCATGGGAAAAAATTCTTGAAATATGCTTCTTTACATTACTAACCCTCCACACTGAAGTGAGATGCTGCTGTCACTGACAATTGGCAGGATTTGATACCCTAGAAATTAAGTTTATGGTGGTAATATTTTGTACAGATTTCAGGTCTACTTTTTTTAATAGTGTAGAGCAATGAGTTGAAACAAATGTCCATCTACCACGTACTTACACTTTTTAAAACAGTACAGTTCTTTCAAGTCAGTATAATAAGCCTTACAGGTAAAAGCTAGTAGAAAAATAAGGGAAAATAATTTATGAGTCCTCTTTATCCATGGGTATCATTATGTTGCACAGCTGACAAAAGCAAAACACCTACCATGGTAGGTAAAGAAACTGTGTGAGCGAGTCAGGGTTTTATTATTTCCAGGTAGACTATGCTTCTTTTGAATGGTTATTGAGTACTGGAGTACCTGAGGAAACCTACACAGCCACAAGGAATAAAGCCAGTAACAGTAACAGTTACTAACCATTATTAGAGCAGCAGAGTGGCAATAAAATCTTGAATACATTATAAGTATTTGATATCAAATGTAGATTTCATCATACAGCTCTAATTTCAAATATATTTGTTATACAAACCTTTATCTTAATTAACTTTGGGTGTAAATGCCTCTCCATCATCAAAATTCCTGCTGGTCCTCCCAAGGGCAGCTTATAGAAATCGTATGTGATTAGACCCCCTACTAAAGTTCCTAAAGGTTCTCAAAGAATCAGTTGGCCTCTGGGTACAATTATCACTTAATAAAATGTAATCATCTAACACTTATCTGCTTCATGAAAAGAAAGATAGAGGAAAATAATTTCAGTAATTCCACACAGTAATTCCTAACTAACTCATAAGAACCCATTCTCATTGCATTCAGCTGTTGCAAATCGAGCATAATAACTTTTAATTTTTATTGCACAAAAGGATGAGACCGTGAAGGTAAAGCATCTAGGGCAGAAACAGCTGCATTATACTGCTAACACAACTTTGACTCTTTGCACGAATCTGCACAGACAGCACGCTAATGCTAAGCTAGCCAAGAACTCAGAGTGATGTTAAAGCTGAATGTTTGCCGACTCCAACCCAACAGTCAGACCTTGAACTTCAATAGGTAACAAACTGATGAGCAGTCAGGCTGCAGCCTCAATTTCTACCTGTTTATGTTTGTACAGCAGAATCACTGTGGTGGTCGTTTTGTGGTGCCTCTATGCTGGTTTTCGTTGTTGGCTTTGTGTTCATACCTAAATACTAAGAGAAAACTTATATGACTTTATTTTTTTGAGTAATGACCCCAACACTAATGAAAGCAAAGAAGGGAAATACCTCCAACTAAACCAGCATTTAACCACACAGCATGCAGTTAATTGCATGAATGTAATGCCTTTGATATGCTGCTTTGGCAATGATGGTCACTATCAAAGTGGAGCCAGTGAGAACCCAATAAAAATTGATAAGGAATTGGTACAATAAGCAATACTGATAATGGAATCGGAATTGCTAAATCCTTATCAATCAAAAGCTACCAGACACTGAATCCATTAGACAAAGAAGAGAACTGATTCTGCTTTCATTTATTCCCATCTCTGATCCAAGGAATGCTAATCAGTGAATTTTGTTTTTGTAGCTTTGAGTCGTCTATGATGGAGCTGCTCATTCCTAATTAAATAATGGATATTGTTGATCTGATTTGTTGGCTGACTAACCTTTTGCACAAGTACAAATGAGAAGAGTAGGGCTGTAAACCTTGTCTAAAGATTTTCCAAAACAAACGTGCTTTGCGCTTTCTTTTTTGTCTATAAATGGCTTTTTTGCTGTTTTACACCAGTTTGTACAATCATCCACAAGCAAGAGTTTCAGACAATCTTTTAAGTCCAAGAGCATGAGAATCGATTAGTCTCGATTAGTGTCATATCACATTTTAGACAATCCCAATAACAGACAGTTTCCCAAATCGTGGTTTGCGCCTAGCCCCAACTAAGCAGAAAATTTCTATAAAGTGCAAAAAAACTTAATCTAAATCTCAGTTTAGACCAAATCTGTGTTTTGGAAAATGAGCATTTATTGCTTGAATAAAAAGCTAAATTCCTGTTTTCTTTGCCCCACGAGAGGTTTAAAAACAGGATTTAAAATAAAATAAAAATTGGTGTGTTTCTCTTTGTGCACGTGCATGCCTTTTACAGTATGAGTAAAATCACGATATTATCATGTTAAAAAACCAAAGGCTTTTATTTTTTTAGTTTAAGTAATTAATTGATTTATTTTGCAGAAATGGATAGATAAATGGAAATAAAACAAGGAGCAGTCGGCCAGTTTTTTGGTTATGGGATTTTATTAGCTTCCATTAACCAATTTTAAACAATGACAATAGGCAAAAAGAAAATAATAATAATAATTAAAAGGAAAAAAAATAGCAACTTTAGGGCTCATGTCTGCTAGTACCTCCTCTACTCTGTAGTATATTAAACTGCTGCCCATGTGTGACTATGTAACAGTGTAATAGATTTTGTAAAATCTAACCTGTTTCGATTAGGTTGGATTTTTCAGCAGTCAAATGTACCTGCTATAAAAGAATGTTTTTGCTTGCTTGATCTACTGCTATCAGCTGGCTTTATCAAAGAGAAATAGTTTTTTTTAAATGCATATTTTTAGAAGTCATGTGCACTGGTCTGAAAACAACATTACTCGTATCACAGCCAGTGTAAAAGGTGGAAGTAGTTACTATGATGTAATCCACTGGTTATGAAGCCTTAAGATTAGTGCTTTTATTGTGCCATCTTAGTTTTAAAGAAATGTGATTTCCTCACTGAATAATGACTTATAATTGATAGATTTTTAGGCAGTGAGCGTGATGACAGAATACCATGGATAATACTCTTCTTTTTTCCTTTTTTTTTTTTTTAAATGACCAAGATTTTATAAAATAGGCTTATTTTTTGCATTCAATGCGACCCAAAATGAGCGACTAAGTTCATAAACACATCAGGTCAAGACAGATCAAAACAGGTCAAAACAGAAAGCCATTTTTCCAGTAGACTTATATAAGAAAATAAAGTCTCTGCAAGAACAGCTATTGTCATCTGGTGGCCTTGTGACAGAGTATACTTTAGGTTTAAGGCACTTCTGCATTGGCTTCATATTCCACAACCCAGAAGCTACAACCATCTTTTATACTGTCTACGACTGATACTATGTTGGAATGTTCTAGCAAGATTTGGAATGGCAAGGGACATCTGCAGAGTTAGACAACTTTTCTGAAAACAAAGCAGTGCTCATTTTCTGTCAGAAAAATAAGGCAACTATTCCTGTGCAGCATGTTGAATATTGACTGTAAAAGACGCCTAATCATCTTAGTAGTATGTGCAACTATGAGAAACAAAACAAAAATTAAATGAATAATCTGTAGAAAAATAATTGCCATATGATATAAGGCATTAATTGACCAATAAAGATGACTTCTAAGAAAAACAAAATTAAAAAGTTATCTTGATTCTGCATTTACAATTCTGCCTAAATCTGTGCAATGTTACCGGTGGCACCAAACATGAGTTAACTCTACCCTCTGGAAGCTACCAGTTGTGGCAGTTATTTTATTTCATTTCAACTGAATTGAACTGGATTCAGTTTATATAGCAAAATCACAATAACAGCCATCTCAAGGTGCTTTATATGAGGTAAAGACCAGACAATATTAGAGAGGTTATCTCTGATATTTGTAAAGGCAAATAAGTTAAACTATTTCTCTCAGGACAAGCTAGCAGTAGTTTAATAAGCATGTTGTACATTGTGGTTTTTGCTGACATTGTTATATATATATTTTGTTTTACAGTGTATTTCTTTCTTTGATATCAAATACAGTGCAAGCTGAAATACCCAATCTGCAGTCTCTCAAAAATAGCCTTGTATTTTTTAAGTTGACATCCATATATTTTTAAAAAATAAAAGTAGGTAAAATGGATTTCCAAAGCTGTAAAGTATGAATACATTCACAGCAATTTAAGAAAGATTTTTCAACTGAGAGCATTGCAACACTTATACCTTAAGCAACTATTGAACTAGGATCCATATGACTGTTCCTTTGGAGCACAGCAGTCTTATAACTACATCGGAGAGCAGAGTAGGATAGATACAGTAATGTGTCCAGAACATACAGTATAGTTGTCATCATCAGTCAGAATATCTATTGCTTTGGTGGAGGCCATACGGCAATTTTTATTCCCCATTTGGCATCAGCTCAGGTCTCTTATCTGTGTCTGTTTACACCGCATTTTCTTTTTGTTCCCAATTCTTTCCATTTCAGACCCAATCATTTGTGTTTTGATGCCAGCGTGTATTTTTCAAATGTTTCTTGTTTAACAAATGATTGAAAATAGAGATGCTTTTAGTAATCAAAATTATGCCCTTGTTTTCAATTGAATGAGCCCACTAAAAAAACATTGTGACAGTTGGTTTAATTTGCTTTCCTAAATGGACCTCTGAGACTCGCCCTTCTCAAACAATTTTGAGTGTAATGGCCTCCATTTTTACATCTCACGGAGGTAAACTGATTTCTACCCTGTACAAAGACAAGAACTCATTCAATACTTGAAGTAAAGACCAGAACATCTTTAGAAAAAAAGAACCCATAAGATCACTTTCACATTGTGGTGGTAGATAGTATTGTGTACCATATTTGCACTGTAAAATGTACAAAATATCACCAAGTTGTTGGCTAGTGGCCTGCAATCTTATTCACAAGCACTTTGAAGCATGTTTATTTATTTACAACATACAGTGTACTCTGAAACAGTAACACATTTATAAATAAATATTGCAATCTTAACATCGTACAGTTCTCCTTTTTTATTGTCGGTTCTTCATGACTCGTCACCTGAGCTTAACGAAGGTGAGGCAACCTTTGCCTGTTCTGAGTCCTTCTTTCCACTTATTCTTTTATGTGCTATCATTCACCAGCAGGCCTATTACTTTCAGTCTTTGTCCTTGCCCTGTCATTCCTTCCTCACCCTCTCAAACATGATTTCAAATAAATAGGTATCTAGAAGGAAAAAAAGGATCATATATTCTTAAATCTTAATAAATCTCTGAAATAAAACGCTACAGTTAATATCTTCCCAAATTAGGGAAAAACATAACAAAGAAAAACATAAAAACCTTCTATTTATCAAAAAGGACAAACAAAAGGAAAAAAAACCCCAATATATTCATAATAATGTTCAACAAGCTGGTACGTATCCATATCTGTTCGTCAGGTATCCATTCCATTATCATTATCCATTCACATGTCATTCAGTACATCCTGTTATCTCAATGTTCAACACTGCAGGTACTCCTGTCTGTCTGGTTGCCTATGTGGTACATTTTTTTTTAATAATCTTCATTATTAGGTGCTCAGTCAGGCTTTGCAAAGCCCAACCACTTCCTTTTTTTTTAATATGAGACACTTCAGTCAGTCCCCTTACACTCAGTGTTTCACTGTGTGTGTATTTTTCTTTTTTTTTTAACTTCACAAATGTTCTACTGTTGTCCAATCACAGACAAGGAGATGGGCCAGGGGATGACAGGAGTGATTCTGGATAGAGGGAGAAAGCCATCATTGGCTGCAGGGAAAACAGAAAATCAGCCTCAAATATGGCTAATGTCCTTTCCTGTTTGTAATTGTGCAAGAATAAATGCCTCTGTCTTGGATCCAAGGGAGAAACAGTCTTTTGTAAGATACATCATTTTCCAACTCTCAAGACACTCTGTTGTTTCAAGAAAGAGCACATTTGCCTGAATACAGAGCTGAATGGCAATTCCCACTAGTAACTGCAAAATGCCTGAATTTCTAGTTGAGTACTTGGACTATATATATTTATTACATTTCACATGTTACTTATGAGAAATGCCATAAGAAATGGGTCACATGATAAACCAACAACACATATTCGTCAGAGAACTCATTACGTAACCATTCTGCAGACTCGGCAGGTAAATGTTTGTATATCAAAAGTAGATCAATGATTAGTCAACGGCCACAGCAAAGGTTGGCAATAAACCACACGAGTAAAAAAGACTTCTGAAGGCAGGACATGATGTAAGTCCTTCCCATCCTCGTTTAAATGTAAAGTGGCTTACAAATGTCTGTCCAATAACGTACCCTGAATTTACTGTAAGTATCTATACAATGGTTTACTAATTTTCTGAAAGTAAACATTTAAAACAATAGTGACTTTATTATTGATTTTTACACTAATATTTTCACAATAAATAAAACAGAAAAAACTCAAAGTTTTTTATTATTTGCTACCATTAATTTTAGTGTGAGCTAGTGATGCTTTTCATAGCCTAAGGGATGCTAAATGTAAGCGTCCCCAACCCAACACAATGTCTCTTAGATACCCTTCCAGACACATCATCACACTTTATGTTCCCTTCACGCTTCCTATATCCCTCCCATTCTCCCTCCATATATCCACTGCAAAGGCATTATAGGTGAATTGTACTCATTGTCCATTCTCCCCCTACTGTACTAATCCTCTGCCCCGCCATTTCTCAGTTTCTTTCCCATCAGTCACAGATTGTCTTGTAGCCTTTCCATATAGGTTCTGATTTCAGACTGACCTAGGTCCATATCCTGGCACACCCACTTGATATCATCTTCACTCCCATTCGTCACCAGGACTGATGAGTTGGTGTATGGGCCACCACCTGAATTATCATTGGGCAGAACAGTGGCAAAAGATGTGAATTTGACGCGTTTGCGTTTGGCCGCTGCAACAGCAGCTGCAGCTGTGGCTTGGGGGGAATTATTCAGATGCTCCTTTTGACCTGTAGCATCTTTGCCACCAGTAGTGATTGCTGAAAGGCACTGATGCGATTCTGGAACAGATCTAGGCAAGGTTTGTCCATGGGTGACACCCCGATGTCCACCTCTGCCACCGCTCCCACTTATAGTGCCCATGCCCATTACCAAGGTGTTACCGGCCCCATTCAGTAGATACTTGTTCTCCTCGTAGCCCCCTTCATTGCGGTCAATTATGGTGGTGCACTCATCCGGCATGCCACCCTGGCATTGGTCAGGGTGGTCTGCTAAAAGGTCAGCCTCAGTGCCAAGCCACACCCAGTCGTGGGCATGGTTCATGTTGCCTCCTGCCTCTAGAACTGGGACTTGCTTGTGACGGTATCTGCAGAGGAAAATTCATAATGAAACATCAATGGAGGTAAAAATTTAAACAGATGCAGTTTCATGACTATAATCTATAGGCATTATCAGACAATACAAGGAATGACTGCAAAAATTAATACTCAGATAAAAGTTGAGGATTTTACCCCATCAAAATCTCACTAAAAAGTTCAAGACAATTTGAAGGAGAATTAAGTCCAATTTTAGGTTTTCATGGTACTAGCAAAGCAATAAGTGATGCATCACGGGTCTGTTATCCATCCATCCATCCATCCATTTTCTCAACTGCTTAACCAGTTTTGGGTTGCTGGGAACTATCAACTTACATTTGGTGAGAGTCATTTGTCATTTGATTTGTCTCTTAAAATCCACACAAAATAACAGCACACAAAGGATATGAGAACATAAAACATGTTTAATGCAAAAACATTTATCTGAGAGGTATGCTGGATTTTTGTGCCAACCACCGCTGCTTTCCACTGATCACTTAATAAGCCACAGAGCAATTAATGTTCTCTGCCATTTTGAAACAAAAAGGAGAGGACAGAATCAGAAAAGAACAGATAACTGATTACTGCATTTGATCAGCTGATTTTAGAGGCTAAAGCGGGAGGAAGGATGACTGGAAGGATGCAATCTTATCACAGGTAAAATAAGCTCATTGAACATTCCTGCTATTGTAAGGGTAATTCATTATTTATTTATTATTTTTTATAATTGTTTAGGCACAGTGATATGTGTTTCTAATAAACTAGCCTGTTGATATGAATACTTCACTCCCAACTGGAGCAGTAGTTACCTCTCTAAAAAGTAAAGACTGAGTGTATCAATGGGAGCTTGAAAATCAGACAACACTACACTTGAAATTGTTTTATTTTCAATTGACTTCTCTCAAAAGGTTTCTCTCACAAAATAATGTGGTTGAGCAAAGGTGCTTATGCCCATCATTAAATATTGTTTGCAATGAATAAGCTTTCTTACAGGTTTTAACTTTGTACAAGACATTGATCTGGCTTAAATTTTAATCCTCCAATAGACAATGGTTACCTAATATGGGCATATTAGGCCCATACCGATTACCTGTCAAAACCAGCTTTTTGGTTCATAGATCCTTTCAGTTTCACATTATATTCCAACAATATATTAACTAACCATAATGGACCTGCCTCAGTATTTAATGTGCATCATGTTTTGTTGCTGAGTAACATGTTTAGGTTTTCAGGGTTTTTTTGTTTTTTTTACCTGAAAGCAAAGCTGACACAGTTGATGAGGAAAACCAGTATTGCCAGGCAGAATACTCCCAGAAGGGCATACATCCCAATCTCCAGGTCTGACAGGCCTCTAGTGGGCTGGGTTAGCTCACTGTTTCCAGTCCCCGGTACCTCCACTGGTGCTGGGTAGCTACTGTAGTCGCCTGGTTGGTTGGGGCCACTGCCACGACTACTGCTGCTGCCACCACCAGCACCTTTGCCACCTGAAGCACGATGGGTTACTGTACTCTTGGTTGTTGAGCTAACCTGAAAATGGAAACGAAAACACAGATATAGTAAATGGTTAAAATATGTGGATTTTGTATATTCATTTGGATTCACGTAAATACGGCATTATTACACAAGACTGACTCCCTCTCCCCATTCTCCTGCTGGCCTGCTCGCACACTGCGCAGCGACATATTGTCCTCTCTGCATCACAGTTATGTTATTTACTATATTTAACACAGCAATTTTCACAGAGGCAGGAAAGATTGGGAGCTCTGTGCTAGGCATGGATAATGATCAGACTATATGTGTGACATACTGGAATGCCCTGGACCAAGAAGGTGCACAACCACTCACAGTGATTACACTACTTAAACAAACTAAACTTTGATGATTAAATGTGTTTATCCAATGTGAGTAAACTCTAAAACTACAGTTTAAGGAAAATACTCTTAAAAATATCCTTTCCTCACTGTTTTATTATTGGTTTTTTTTCCATACCTTCCTCATGGCTCCTTCCTCTCGGTCCACTGCTGCACTGTTGGATTTCCACTCTCCTCCATCTTTTGTCCGTTGTTCACTGGTGCTGTTATCCAACCCTCCACCATCATCTTGCCCCCCTCTTCCCATCACTCCTCTTTCGTCATTTTTTGCTCCAAACTTAACTATAACATTTCCAACTCCAGATGCCAGCACACTCTTCCTTTTTGACTTCTGGCAAGTTTCAGAGATGACCATCTCTACTCGAAACAATGCCCCCTGCCCATCACCTTCTGCTACTACAATGGGCCAGTGCTGTTCCTAAATGACAAAGAGAATGTGGAAGTTAATACCTTACAGTTTAAAACGCGTTTAGGCAGCTTTTGTTATGACTTTGCAAACTATAAATAAACCTTAACTGAACTGAATTGAATTGAATTTGGGCTTTCTGCTCTAAAAAGCATGATCTACAAATGTATAAAACTGTCACTTCTTTGCACTGCTGACAATATAAAGGAAGATGCCAGTACCTGATTGGTAACAGAAATGACATTCTCATCAAGTGAGACAGCTGAAAGTAGGAAGTCTTTTGGATCATATATATCCAATGGTGTCACTGAACCATCACTGTACTGGATCCATGCACTGATCCCAGCTTCCTGAAATAGAGAAAGAAAAACCCTGCACAATTACAGCTTTTAAATAGTTCATCCATTCATTAAAATGTATTTTAATGACACTGGTTGAACCTCTTGTGACCTTTTACGAAAGAAGATCAAAGAGAATATCTATCACTGATACTTTTTCTTTGCACAAGATAGAAAGAATGTTGTCATCTGATATTTCAAGCAAAGATAACTGACATGAACAAAGAGTCCTTGCTTTTTATTGGCTGTTCCCTCTTTCTTCTTTTGTGCCTTGCTTTATTTTACTTCCTCGCCTGTCTCTGTGATTTCTGATCTGTTTCCTATTACGTTTCCTATGTTTGTCTTTTTTTTGGTCTTGTTAACACCTGATCTTGCTTTTGTTCATCACAGTACATTCCTACCATGGGCCATGTCATACAGTTTTATACTTGCTGGACTCTTGTAAGTTTCAAGTTGGCTCCTTGGTAAAGTTCACATTTTATGCACTCAACGTGCCATTCTAAAAGTGTCTGCATTTTAGTTTTCTATTTAACGAAGTGAGTAGTGAAAGAGGTCATCTATGTCCACTGTGATTGACTATCTTTGAACAGAAGAGGTGGCTTACGACACCAACTGTCTGCCACCTACAGTGAAGTTTTGAGATCCCTTTCCAAGTGCCTCACCCCCACTCACATCTTGCATCAGGTGATCACAATAGGTCACATGATAGGGTGAGGAAGGTCTTACAATGGTTTCACCCAAAACCTCTGCTGATAATGACCCATGCCTTTTTTCACACCAAGCGATGAGGGACATGATCAATAGTGGGTCAGTGACCCTCTTAAGGGACAACTCCCCCTAGGGACTGTCCACCATTTGGTTTTAGAACTGAAGAAGCTTCTTGGATTAGAGGTGGAATACCTTCAAGAAACTTAAAGAAGTCCAAGCTCCTTAGACTACAATGACATGTATGATTTAGAACCTACACAGATATGCTTTCTAGTTCACTTTAACATCATTGAAATTGTTAAATGCTATTGTATAAGCTTGGGAACTACCTGATGGAACACCTTTCTTCGACTCTGAGATTGGCCCACAGTCACTCACCTTTTAGAAAATACTCAAAGTCCACATTCACAGACTCAAAAGACTGTGGCATGCTCCTGCTAAATCCTTAGGGCAGTGTAAAATCATCAAGTGCATGAGATGTCGCTGACATTTAACCTTTTAGGAACCCCTTCCATACATTTCTGCAGGTTTTGCCCAGTGTAGTTATCCAGATCTAATACCACAGTAATTTCAAACATGTTATCAGGAGAAGCACAAAAAATTGGAAAGCTAATATTAGATATTACAAAGTGTCAAAGACCCAACTGTGTAACTTTTTAATCTTATTTACTGGTATATGGCATTTTCATAATGTTGTCGTAGTCTTGGGTCATTTGTCCCAGCCTTTTAGAATTAATGGTGTTTTGTGATTTCTTTGTGTATAATATTTTGGTTTTATATTTTTCAGTATCTTTTGGGCTCCTATGTTTAGTTTTCATGTTGTCTTGTCATGATGTCTCATCACCCTTTCCTGTGTGTCATTCCATGTTTCCCCAGCCTGTCATGTCTCTCTCTCTTGTGCTCTCTCATCCCCTCTCTCTTGTGTTCCCTCACTCCTTCTCTCATCTGCCTCTTCTTGCCATACATCCTTCCAAGCTTAAGCCCTCTGTCTCCCTTTGTTCAGTGTGAGGCTGCTTGTTCGTCTTCTCCCGTGTTCCTGGGCCCTAGTTTTTCCATTATCCCTGTGCTTTGCTTCTAGTTCAGTTTTTCCAGTTTATTTTAGCTATTGGTTTTGGTTTCTCTTATTTTGTACTTTCGTGTTCCACATTCAATAAACAGCGTGTTTTTCGTTCAACCTTGTCCCTTCCTCGAGTGTCTGTATTTGGGTCCGCTAAAAAGAAACACATGGTCTGCCACCGCAGACCCATGACAAATGTATTTTGTCCAAATGCTGACCACACGTAATTTTCAGTTTGTTCATTTCTTACACAATTTTTTAACTAGATTTTCAAAGTAGCTTAAGAAAATTAAAAAAAAATGTAAAAATTAATTTAAAAAAATTGCTAAAATCTAATTGCTAAAACTAGATGTTAGCAATTGTACATTTCCACCTTCATAATTGTTAGTCTGCAATGCTATGCTTCCCAAACACATTTCATTATTCAGTATTGACAACTAAGACCTATACACCTGTTTTGTGGACAGAAACACTTTTTTTCTCTGATTTGTCTTTTTCCTGTTCAATTACAACAGGAAAAAAATCCATCCAAAGAAAAATACTTTCTGAATTTCACACTAAATGTACAAGAAAAGCAAAGATTTTTCTTCTTTCTTAAAATAATATCAGATAAGATAAACCTTTATAAACCATTTCTTTAAATGGTCCTGCTTCACAGATTTACATTGACAAACAGCTTTGTTCTTCTTATTAATAAAAATAAAAAGACTAATGCACTGATATAACCTAGTAAGTAAGATTTAGTACCTTTTTTTACTAAACTGCAGGATCAAACCTGTATTTTGATTGAGGTGAGCTGCTTAGCCCTTGGGTGGTATTTATGTTGTGGCAATTTTAAAACAAACAAACAAAAATAAGTATGAAGACAGCTTAACATATTCTATATAACTTCATAAGGTATAAAATAAACTTTGGCAATGTCATTAAAAAATCAAGAATAATAAGTAAATGGTACCTGTTAACTGTGTTAACGGGTATGTGTGATGATATAATGGATCAAAGTGGAGACGGAGACGGGTTAAAAAAGATTTTTAAATGTTATAACAATTTTAGTTTCACTGTGTTTGTAAACATAGGTGACAAATTCATTTTGCGATTTATTTTTTTTATTTATTTATTTATTTATTTATTTTTGCCTGTCCAGTTTGGATCTTTAGCCATCAAAATTGTTGTCTGAAGGCCAAGAAAGATGCCAAGTAGATTTACTTTACCAAGTGGATCATCATGGCCTTGCCATATTGGTCCATTTGATTGACCTTTATTATAATTATGTATTTATTTTATTTTCGTTTTTTAAAGACGGGACAGACATGACTGGGGGATAGGACAGGGAGATGAATGAAAGAAAGAGAGGGAGAGAAAGAAAAATAGAGGGGAGAAGAGATGGTGAGAAAGGGGGGAAGAAAAAAAAGAAAGAAAAACAAACAAAACACCTGGATCACCTGTATGGAGATAAAAAACCAGAAGAGAAAACAAACAACAAAGAGCAACATAATAAAAACAACACCATCACAATAAACTAGCTAACAATAGATAACAGTAGATACTTTTTTAATTTCACCTGTTGAGAATGAAAAAAGAAAACAAGCCAAAGAAAACGAGAGCACTAGAATAATGGTAAATGGCCTGTATTTATATAGCGCTTTTACTAGTCCCTAAGGACCCCAAAGCGCTTTACATATCCAGTCATCCACCCATTCACGCACACATTTACACACTGGTGATGGCAAGCTACATTGTAGCCACAGCCACCCTGGGGCGCACTGACAGAGGCGAGGCTGCCGGACACTGGCGCCACCGGGCCCTCTGACCACCACCAGTAGACAACGGGTGAAGTATCTTGCCCAAGGACACAACAACCGAGACTGTCCAAGCCGGGGCTCGAACCGGCAACCTTCCGGTTACAAGGCGAACTCCCAACTCTTGAGCCACGATCGCCACGATAAACAACATCACGATGATCTATGGGAATATAACAGTAAATACTAAATATTAAACATTATTGTGCAGCACCTAAGATCGACAGCGCACAGTGTGCTTTGAGGTAGGAGCCAAAAAGGGTGTAGTTTGTGTGTGTGAGCACCCGTGTGTACACCTGTGAGCATGAATGCACTTGTTTTTAAAAGGTTCCTTCATGTAATGATCTGCTAGAGGGTGTGGGGAGCCACAGCCCCGTCCACCAGGGCATGAAGCAGGTATGGAGGAGATCAAAACTCAAGACATCCAGAGGCCCTCAGAACACAAGAGACCAAGGAAGACCAACAGAGGGGCAGCCGCGCCAATATCCCAGAAAAGCTGAGGAAAGTCCCAGATGAGGGGTCACTCAGCAGCCGCGGAGCAGAAGCCAGGGGGGGTTGCAGTGACGCGCCCGTGAGCTCCGCCAGCTGTGCCAGAGTGACTGAGCCCCAGGCCAAGAGGCCAAGGGCACCCCACCCCCGAAGTGGCCTGAGCGAGCCCCAGGCTCCAGGCCCCGATAAGCAGCCACCAAGGAGTGAGCCAGTGTGTACCTGGACGCCCATCCTCCGCCCGCTCATATGTAGTGTTGATGCATGTGTGTTCTAAGGTCCATTTAAAACCCAGGAGGGCATCATTGTTGCGATTTAATTTCTTTTACTGGATTGTATTTAGGGCCTGAAGTTTCATTTAAAAAAAGAAATGGCTGTTGTAATCGGTTGCTGCTGTAATTGCTATAGCCTTGAAGTTACACTTCCCTAATTTGAAACTGATTATGGGAGAGATAGCATCTAGATAATGTTCGCAGTGCAGAATTACTATTTAAGAGCCATGATTACAACCTTTAGGGAATTACTGTGAAGAGAGGAACAGGCAACGATGGTGGCCATCATTTCACTTGTGTAATAAAAACCTAAAGGCAGAGAGTTGTCTGCATGTGAATCACATGGCTACATGTCCAAACTAGATAAAGTGAGAGGATGTGATGGCTTGCAGAAATGTTTTAATGTGTGAGTAAAATCACAGATATTCATAAGAACAAAAATCTTTTTATATAATTCATCCATCCATGTTCAGTGTGTCTGCCTCTGGCTCTATGAAAGCTGGGGTATGCTCACACCTCATGCAAACTTGAACTGGGTACTCATCTAGCTGCATCTTCTTATTGGACCAGAGAAGTAAATCTGAATAACAGGATCATAAAATTTTAGCAGATGTAGACTTGACGTAAAGTGATCTCCTACCTGTTTAGGTGTATGTAGCAGGTCAGCAGCTGTGGTTGTTAACTGTATGGCTTGAGAATTTACAGGACTTGGACTCAAACTAAGGGACAAAGATGCAACCAGCTGGACTCCCAGGTCAGAAATGGTGACCTTCAGGTAAAAAAAAAAAAAGCAATATTAAAAGAGTTCAAGTTGTAGTTTTTGTCCCCTTTTAAAGGTTTGTTATTCTGATGATGATCCTAAAATGTAAAGTCAGTCACTTTAAAACGGGGTAGATTCACCACATTTGGAACTCTTTAGATCAATAATGGAAGACTGATACATTAATATAGCATAATTACAAAATAAAAGCGAATCTTCAAGCGTACAACTTTTGTATCAGACATTATTTAGACATTAAACATGCTATAAGTAAGAGTACAGTTTACACTTTAAGTAAATCACAACACTCTTTGTATGCCATGCCATGGTCTGATGCTGCATTATTTAATAAATGTGCATAATTTGAGTTCATTGTGTACAGGTGCAGCCCTAATAAACACGTGTTTACTTACTCTGTGAGGAACTTTGGTTGTTGTTTGCTTTCAGATGTAATTAATCTTAATATTGGCCTCTGGTAGAACCTTTAATCTGCTAAATTGGACTCAAGAATATATATAATAAAGCAATATTTACCTTGTCATCTAATACAGTTACAGTCTTCTCTGCCAGTATCGAGTCAGACAAGGGGGACAGAACCTGCAACAAAAGACAATACAAAAACATATTTAAGTTCAAGTTTAAATCACCTATCCTGGCAAGCTAGATGTTAAAAAGCAACGAAATATGAGTTTTGGTCTCATAGTTTTGAAAAGTATATAAATAACAGGAACAAGGTTATGTTGTGGCTTATAGGAAAATCATTCTACAAGAAATGATGTTATTTATTTTGTCAAAAGTGGTCAATGGCAAAAGTGCCAAAAATGAACAAATGTTGCTGTTTCAATGTAAAACAGTGGTTTACTCAGACACACAGACTCAGACACATAGTGTTCACTACATGTACACAGACTACTATTTCTGGACACACATCTGTTTTCACATATAAAAAACACATTCACGTCACGCTGGACATTCTCTCTTATTTGCTTTGTGAGGAAATTTCTTGTGTGGACTGAGCCATCGCCTCTTCTAAACCAAATGACTTTAAGAATCTTATTTTTTTGAAAGGAAGTGTATTTAATTTCTTTTAACTGTTAAGTAAATAGAAAGTCCAAGGATGTTCTTGAAAGACATCCAACAGATGCCAAATATTTTTTCAACCAAGTCTAAATGTCAAGAAAATATGTTGAGATTACAGCTCTTTAAATGTTTGCTGATAAGTCCTGCTACTCAGCTGTCATCTTGTTAATGCCTTTATTCAGCAGCAATTTTGAAGCATTAACTAAATGCAAAACTGAATTTAATTTCTTTGGTTACCAGGACATAAAAGAAAGGTATTTCTAAAAATTCAAATCCAAACCCCCCCCCCAATATTTTTTAACTTTAAAAAGTTTGCTGAATAAATGAGGTTTAAGAAAAGCTTCTTTTCCCCCCCAAGGAAATCATACTTTTTCTATTTTTTTGTGATTTGCTGTGAAAGTAATTGGACATTAGTAAGTACAGTTTTTATAGAACAAACAGTAAAAAACATTGTACAACAGAAATGCATAAAATAGCTTTTTTGCTGTCTGAGTGAATATTTCCTTAAGGTGAAATTTTAACATTGTCAGTGCAAGAGCAGTGAGAGCCACCATTGTGCCACATAAACTTGGAGTAGTTAGGAGGTTAACACACACAGACTGATCATCATTGATTCATTTCTGCACAGCATGTCTTAGACACACATGCAAATACATACAGACAAACATGGATCTGTAAAAGCTGATGGTGCTGGTATTGCATGTGTAAAGAAAACGCAAAGAAACTCTGCTGCTGTCATCACACAGCGAAGCACACGCTAAGTAACGAAAACACATCTACGCACAAATGCACACAGACTGTGTTCCCGTCTGCATTCCAGCTGTGCCCCAGTGTGTCAGCATTCAACTAAGACAACAAGGCCAGAACTAAAGACAACTCAAATGAAAACAGAGTGGATGAAAAGAAAAAGGACAGTGTAAGTAAGATGGCAAGCAAGCAAGAGAAAAATAAATAGAGTAGGTGTCAGAAGGAGAGGGACAATGACAAATAGAGGAGGACAGTAAGTGAAAGGGGCAGAAAGAAGGAGCATGAAAAAGATTGGGGTACAGATGAACAGGGAAACAGCAGACAGACACTGATAGAGATTAGGGGGCCCATGTTGTAGTGTACTACTTCGCCCAGCGACAGGAGGACAGGCAGATCTGATTGGTGTACAAAGACAATCTCGCAGCAAATGTGTCAGGGCGTCAAACTTAATCCCACCCTCAGCAAGGTAACAAAATGCAATGACTGACGGCTCTGGGATTGCTCCTCAAGACCGGCAGAGAATAACAAGGTGAGAAAGAGAGACTGGGGATAGAAAGGAAAAAGAGACGGGAAAAAGAGGAAGAAGCGAGACTCAGGAAGACAGAGCTGGGGGCTAAAATTGAAATGTCAAAATATCAAATGATGCCTGTCGACTCTGGCATCTCAGTGGGAATTCTCGGTAAATTCTCTCTCCTGGCTCCCAAACGGTCCACAGCTGTATATGTGTGTGTTTGTGTGTGTGTGTGCACGCATACATTAATGCAGAAGTCCCCTGCTAACACACACCCAGCTGTTACCAAAAATCATGCCACTTATGCACTGAACTTCAGTCCAACCATTTTTTATTTACTTGTTAATGGATGTGAAACATACTCTTCAACACAGTAATGAATGCGACCATAAAAATACATAATTTCTATATATGTGATGTATGCAAGAGAGAACAGAAAACAATATAAGACGACACTGATGAGGACTGCGAAACATTTGGTGGTTTTGCTTTAGTTCTGCTACATAACCGTGCATAAGTAAATAACAGAATAAGCCACAGAACTATCCTCCACTGTCACACTGAGTTACAATGGCCAGGCTCATTGGAATGCAGAAAGTGCACAACTGTGTTCAGTGTGTATATGTGTATAATTTGTGAGCATCAAGCTGAGATGTCAGGGCCAAATTCAACATTTAATTGTGGCTAATTGTATAACAAGCTAGCAGGGGAGGCTTATATATGAGGAACGGGGATAGTGTTTACATCACCGGAGTACTTATAGCTGTAATGTGAAGTGCCAAATTACACTGCACTTGACATAATGAGTTCTTTCAACTGTCTTTTTCTGGACTTTGTAAAAAGCAGTGAATACATTGCTTGTGGAATTTCTTTTTTTTCTATACATACTCAAATACTGTATGATGAGTAAATGACCCACTGCAGTCAGTTTCTTAACTTTACTATAGGGATGAATATAGACTTCAGTAAGCAGAAAGGGTTCTTTTGGTGTTAGAGCTTATAATATCAACCAGCTTAGTTACAATTGAAGGGGAAGAGATGGGTTGCACTTTTAGTGATGAAGCAAGCAAAGAATACCTGTATATTGGTGTGTCCCAGGTCCCGCCCGATTACGATTCGTCCATCTATTAATCTGGCAATGCGAGGCTCTTCTATCTGCAGAATACAGAAACAGGAGGCAGTCAAAGGATACATTATTTATTGTTTAGAAAGAATTACAATAATAATATACTATTGGGTGCATCTCTTAATTTTTGAATTCAGGTGTTTTCAGTCCTATTCCAGTGTGATACTATGATACAATTTACTGCTATACCAAGTCAATTTGTGAAATTTCTGTCCTCCTAAATATACCACAATCAACTGTAAGTGATATTATTACCAAGTGGCAGCTCAGGTACAAAGTGGCAGACCATGTAAAATTACAGAGTAGGGCTGCTGAGTGCTGAGATGCATAGTGTGTAAAAGCTCTGCTGACTCAGTAACTGCAGAGGTCGCAACCTTCTTAACATCAGCAGAAAAAGCGTGTGTTGGGAGCTTCATGCCATGGGTTTCCATGGCAGAGAAGCTCCTGTAGGTGCTATAGTTGTTCACACAGTTCATCTGTAAATGCAAAAAATCAGGACGTATGTTTTGCACTGTCTATATATTAAGCCACCTTACAAGTACTTATTAGAAAGTGTCACTGCCCATAGCTGTGAGCAAATAATTTATATCCCAAAATGTTAAACTATTCCTTTTGTGAAGAAGCCATGATCTGCAAGTGAATAGAAGGGTACTGTTTGTGAGCATTTGTGTATACCCACCTTTAATTGGTCCAAGACCAAATGAGTGATATCAACTTGCCAGTCAGCACCCAGCATGTAAACCATCTCTCCACCTGGGTCAGACGGTTCTGCGACAAAATGAGTGAGGACCCGCACCAAAGCATACTGGTACTGAAAGGTTAGAACAAGGCCAAATTCAGACTCTGATGCTAAAGTGCACAACAGACTCTTACTTCAATGCTTGTGATTAAACAAAAACATGGGACAGAAGTACAACTCAGTATCAATAACTCAGTATTTAGGCAGATATTATTCAGATTAAACTGCCTTTAAAAGAGTTGTGATCACTCAGAAACAATACTGATTTACAATCAAATGATACCTGTAGGGTGCAGCCTTTGCCCTTTCTGTCATCGTCCTCATCATCTTCACTGTCTCTGGTGGGTCTGAAAAGAAAAGAGATAAATAAGGAAGAAATAAATAAAATGAAGGGATGGTGAGATTATCCAGTAATTAAATGTCCCCTTTCCTCTCTCCTCTCAGCTCCAGCTGATGTACTGAATAATCTCATCTTCAGGTTACACTTTAAGCCAAATAAAGGACACTTGAGTCTCTAATCTACATTTAACACATTTAAACACTTTACTTGAACATTAAGCACTTGTAATAAGACTAGGATGGTCAAAATATTTTAAACGTAACTGGTCAATTTTCTATTCTTGTGTAATACTATCTGTTGGGCAGCAGTAGATCCAAACTATAGAAATGAGTCTTTGCAACGTTATAAACAACATCAAAAATCTTTTACATTATAAGAATTACATTAAAATGAAATGGAACAACATATGTAAAAATCACTATAACTAGGGGATTTAATAGAGTCTTGAGCAGACCTACATTTGCAACACTACTGAGTCAAAACAGAATTATTGTTTGACTCAGTTTAACTTGGATTCTTTAAACCACCTTTAATTGGTCCAAGACCATTCTTCTGCTTTCATATGGTACCAAAAAGTAAAATAAAAAACAACTAACTAAATCATTATATTTGTATTTAAAAATATTGGTCAATGTATTTTGTGTTGTTAATCTAGTAAGCAGCAATCTACTAATAAATAGACTTGCAGCTAAGACAGCTGCATGTCTTTCTTCTTAATTATTTATTTCTTTTGCAGAATATAGAAAAATACAGTAGTCATTAATTAAATCAGATCTAATCTAATGAAATAAAACATAATAAATATAAAATGTACTATGAATGTACTAATTTTTCAATGCTAAAAAACAAGAAGGCAACTTGTCTCGATTCGTCTCTAAATGAAAATGTATTTTTATCTCAGAAGGATGCAAATAAACACATTCTTTCTCCTTTGCCTGCCTCTGTGAAATCTATCATTGACCATATACAGGCACACATAGCATCATATAATCACACAAGAATATACACACAGAGGACTGCATCTGTGTCTTATATCTTTACAGTACCTATGAAACTCAGGTAATATTACAGGAATTTTCTTTCCATTACCCAGTGCCCCAGTTGCACATGTGTCTGTGTGAATGTCTCTACCTAATAGTGCTTGTGTTTCACTCTGTCAGATAGTGGTTTGGGGAGATGGAGGTGTGTTTGTGCACACGGCTTGGTGGCTGCGTGAGCAGAAATTGCCAAAATTGAAAAATAGGCCCAGCAGAACAAAATGGAAGGGTGGCAAGATGAGAAATAGGAATAAAACACACAAACACACATACCTGTCATACAAATACACAATCAAAGATAGAAGCACAAAAGCATAATGATATTTAGAATCATTAAAAGCTCTGTAAATGATGAAAACTTCCAATGTAAACATTAATGCCAATGTAAGTTTTGGCAAGAAACACTCAATTTCCATTTTTAACATCCTGTTATGTGCTTTGTAACACTGGTAGGAATAAACAATATTGTCAGTCTGCAACTTAAAAGTGATACACCTTTGGTTCAGCTTTGAGAGAATTTGGAAAATATGGCATTGTAAGCTGTAGTGTGTGTGTATATATATATATATATATATATATATACCAAAATGAAAGACAAAATAAAATTTCTCAGAGAAGAGTAGGAAATACAACTCAACAAATGCCTGTACCATGAATTTTTGTGACTTCAAAAACTAGCAGTTCCTCACAGTTCACTGCTCGATTCTAACAGCAATTGCAGGTGTTTGTGTTTCCCTTCTGAATAGTCTTAAAATGTGTTTCTTACCAAAGAAAAAAAAGTCTTTGTAGCATAAATGAAAATGGTGTACGTAAAATGCTCTACATTTTGACAAAATTATGCTAATGCCTACACCTTCTACCGTGTGTTACACTCCCCCATTCCCTCAAGGTCAGACAGGCAAATTACCTCTTGTTAGTGATGATTGGCACCCTCCAGCCCTTGACCTGGCTGAGCTCAGTATCTGACAGATCTATCTGAAGTGGTAGCTTGGGCACCCAGACGGTGAGCTGAAGCTGAGCAGATAGGTGCAGGTATGAGAACTTGATGGTCAAAGACTGCCGACCACGCATTTCTTTGCCATTCACCAAAACCTTGTCACAGTTTGGAGAAACCTAAAAATAAATGTATAAATAAAAAAGAGGGAAAAAACAGTTTGATTGAGACTGGGAAAAACGTGCATGCATGTGTGACATTTTAAACAGAAATCAAATGAGTTGCATGAGATTTTTTCCACAGAAACAGATGCAGTCTCTGTTGTGTATTGCTCAAGCACAGCCTAAAGCAAGTTTTCACAATAATTATAGTGTTGCATCCAGTAAGATATTTGTCACTGATTTATAACAAGTTTATTAATCTTGTAAAGCACTTTGCAAAACTGTTCTGTAATGTGCCCTGAAAGAAAAGGTTAATAATGTACTTCTTCCTGTTGCATTAGTGGCATTTCAGGTTTGCGAATTCTCTCTTGTTATCTCCGCCAACGTGAAGCAACATATTAACATTTAACAGCCTCGAATCAGTAAATCGCAGTCATTTTAAGACATTAGCACAATTTCACTGAATACATAAGATGACCAACAAGAATACTGTGAACCAGAATACCAGTGGGTTTAGCAAAATGCATGATTTCTTTTTTTTGTTTTTAAAAAAACAGTCTAAAGCTATTTAACACTCTATAGTACATATTTGGTTAATTTATTATTATTATTATTTTTTAAATTTAATGTTACAACACAACACCTTCTAATACGGTGATGAGTGGAAAAGGGGTTTGACCTTTGACCTCTGGGTAGAGCAGTCTTTTTAGGAACCAAAACTGCATGGGACATAGCGCTGACAACTGGTAGGAATAATGTTTGTTTCTATACATATTTAAAATGAAACAACTTCATTTATAAAATAGGTTTATGGATTTCTGAAGAAGAATCGATTTTTAAATATAGATTTTAATTTCATTTGGTTACGCAAACACTTTTTTTTATTTGTTCCCAAAGGACAACATTATGCAGTTCAACCATCTTTCTTATTGCATTAATGCTAAAGCAGTTGTTGTCCTGATTAATGCTTGTTTTAGGTGAGTGTTGGGACATACACTTTTAGCAAACCATCCAGTATATGACCCCTTATGAACTGACTGGAAAGGGACATAAGGCAATGGAAAATCCTACATTGTATTCTGTTCAATTCTTTATATAATACCTAAACTAGGGATCTGTATAACATATTGCAAATGTGCATGGATAGCCAACAAAGGAACCAAATAGAGTTATTAGGTGAGAAAAGGGAAACAAAGAAAGCAATTCTTCTCCTAGTGACAGCAGAGAATTATGTGTTCAAGTATCTTAAAAATTGGAACAAAAGTTCAGCAGCTATGAAATAAAAGCAAGGGCAGTTACAATTTCCAAACTGGCATAAAGTCAGTGTAATATTATTTATTTATGACTGCTTTAGAAAAAAATATATTGAGAAAATTGCAATATTCAGAAAATGTAATATGTGTAAATATTTAATCATCAGTTGGTGCAAAACTGTGTTAAGTAGACTTTCTCACTATTTTTTCCTGCCCCACCTATTCTTATTTCTGCATCTTTATATAATTCTATGGCCATTAATCCATTCCTCAGAAGTTTATAACTTCTCCACCCTCTCTGTCTCTACACTACACTTCTCATCCCTCCTCCCACCCTTTCTTTCATCTCCCTGTGCCTCAAATGTTCTGTCCTCCCCACCCATTCCTATTTAACCCTAAAGCATATGAACATCCATTTCCTGTTATCTGACGTCTTCACCCTTTTTTGTTTTTACACCCCAGTCTTCTTCCTTTTCTAAATCTGCCAACTTCTGTTTATTAGGTTTTCCACTCAGCTGCACCTCACATTCAATCCCCGTGTTGTTGAAATTAGTGTATCAGACATCACTGCTTACAGATGACTCATTTAAAAGCTCACACCACCCACACTACAGTTTGTTTTTTAAAATCTTTAACTGTAAACAACTTGGCCTATTGTGCTGTACACCATTAAGGTGAACTCAATTCGTCTAAATATTCATTTTATCTCTTTACAACCTGTTACTGTTAAGAATGATTTAGTTATTGCAATAAGACAATGAAAGACAATGGAAATGTTAAATAGAAAAATACCTACATCTTATCACACTTTAATCAACATTTCCCAAAACTACAGTGTTTTTTGCAAAAATTCAAAAACCTTTTTTATACAAACTGCTACTGCTATTTGGGTTTTTCAGGAAGTTAAATCTACACTGAAAAAAAGGCCGTGTTGGATTTACTTGATTCAGTAGTGGACATTGGTTGCACACAAATTTTTTGCTTTGGCAGAAACTTAAACAATTGAGTTAAATCAACACAACTTTTTCATATGTAATAAACATGTGCATTTTGTGTTCATAAAACACGATTGAAACATGTTTAGATGAAGTAAGTTGAGCTCTTGGAATATTTTAATCCTTCACAATTTTGTCATTTTATTTCAACACTATTCAATAACTTTTACCCCAGTACTACTTGGTCACTTAAATACTACATGTTGTCTTCATATTACATAATGTTCAACAAAGTCTAGAGTCTGGTTACCATAAAGATTGAATGGATCTACAATAGCTACGATCCTCCTAACCTTATTCTGGTGCAGGGAAATAACCCTGAAGTGATAGGTTACAAGGCAGGACAACTCACAAGTCTATCACAAACCTCCATTTGCACTTACATTCACAGGTAATTTAGAATCACCAATTAACCTAACTCTAACAACTGCTTGACTTTTAACTGTGGGACGAAACCAGAATACCCAGAGAGAACCCAGTGTAAACTAGCCAGATTGTGGATTTGAACCCAGGACCTTCTTAACGTGAAGCAACAGCACTAACCACCATGCCACCAATCCAGACTTAACGAAAGGAGGAAAGCTATGATTTCAAGGCTTGATGCAGAATTCTTTTGTACGTTTTTGTCCTTGACAGGTTAAACCACAATAAATAGCAATAGCATACATGTGTTGTGTGCGTAGTTGTCTGCCTCTTATAACTCCAGTGATTTTCCTGCAGTTTGACATCTTGTGCGATCTTGTGAATTTCATGAGTTCAGCAACTAACCACTCTTACTAGATTGTATCATGTCATCTCAACAAGAACAAATTAAGTTGTTGAATTACATACAGATTCTTCATGATTTAATTACATTCATAGAAACATGAAATTATTGTGTTCAAATTACAAGTTAGACTTTTTTAATGCAACAACCACCCAATTTACTTAAAGGCGGCTGCTTGATTTGACTGAGATGGATGCCTTCCTGAAACCACGATCCAAAGCGTGCAAGACTGAAATCCCGTGCGGTGTCGCAGTAAGTTATTGACTTACTTCACTCGAACATGAACAATTTAATCTAGCCTCTCTGCATATTATGTAGTTTCTACACTATATAGTTACACTTAACTTTAAAGCATGAGGCACTTATGTTAAATACACGCAAGATGCTTACGTAAATCCAAGAGTTGGCCAATCCCTTTTTTTCAGTGTAGTCTATTTTGGGTACCGTTTCCAGACAGTTTTTTTTTTTGTCCTGTTTCTCTCCCCTTAAACCCAGCTGGTTGTGGCAGATGGCTATCCCTCCCCGAGCCTGGTTCTGTGATGGGTTTCTTCCCAGTAAAATTGAGTTTTTCCTTCCCACTGTCGCCAAGTGTTTGCTCAAAGATGGTTGTTCGATTGTTGGGGTTTTATATTTATTGTTATGCTCTTTACTTGCGCCTTGAGGTGACCACTGTTGTTATCTGGTGTTATATAAATGAAACTGAATTGAAGATTAAATTAAAATCCAAAGAGAACCATCATCTGCGCATATCTACTCATGTATGGTAAGTTCTCCTCTTAGTGAGATGAATAAAAAAGGGATACTGACTTCTTCCAACAGTTACTCAAAAGTCTGTGATTCAGTGCTCTTCCCTGACGAAGTTAACTGTTTTAGTTATAACATCAAAAACATGGTTCATTTTTAGTACTGACTTACTGTACACAACACTTTATGACGTATAATACAGTGCAAAAATACCAGATTCAGTTCTGGGTTTACTGAAGTCACTTTATCTTCTATCCACTACAAAAGTCAGACATTTTTCACTGTCAGATTTGGACAGCCATCGGTTGTAACACCTGCCAGTTTGCCCATTTCAGCCCAAGCCTATCAAAGCATGCAGTTACCTCCGTAAACAATTCACTCCCTGTCGTGGTCTTTTCATTCAGCACGTTGCTGCCAGCTCCTCCGTAATCTCAAACTCTTTCATTATCCCATGTACAAAGATGAGTAACTAGGCTGTGTCACAGACATCACAGCTTTTTTCCACAGCCACGGAGAAAAAAAATCAAAATTGTCTGTTTTGTTTTTCAAGCTCCAGATCTTTGAAAATGTCCTCGATCCATTTTGTTATGGTTCGCCTGGAGAGGGGTTCATTCTCAAGTGCTTCTGTATATTAGCACGGCAGAGTGCACCAAATACTCTTTGTGGGAAATTACAAAGCTGGTCTTGACTGCTCTAACCATGTTTAAAGCTTCATAAAAGGTTTTTGTTGCTTTTGTAGCTTTGCTAGCAAATCTACCTTTCTGATCTATTTCTCTATGGGTGTTTGTTCTTATAATGGTGATTCATACTGTGACCCTTTAGCATATGGAGGACAATATAAGCTTATAAATTTGCTCTCTACAAACAAAGAAAACTGTTTTCATTCTGACTTTAAAAAAATAAACTCTCAGAAGTGCACGTTTATGTTATTTTAATTTCCCATTGAGCTCTCATGGGTCTGTTTGGGACAATGCCCCTGTCTAGCCTAAATAGATAGATGTTAACGAATTGTAAGTGCATAATGTAAGCTCAAACTGAATGCCAGTTCAAAGAGGAATGGTCTGACCAATAATTACTGAGTACTTAAGATGATAATACATTAAATGAGTAGTCCCATTGTAAAACGGACTAGTTTTTGCTAGATGATGGATGTTTTTTACTTGAATTTGGAACATGTTAGCAAATTAGCAAACACTTGGAGAACATTTGAATGTTTAGAAATATCAGCTTCAGTGTAGGTTTTTACATTAAGCTTTGATT